AAATGATGGTGTAAGCCAGGCATGGTCGTGCATGTGCACAATCTAGCACTCAGAATAAGATCAAATGATGATGTAAGCCAGGCATGGTCGTGCGTGTGCACAGTCCCAGCACTTATAGGTTGAGGCGAAAGGATTCTTACCAGTTCATTTATTCTTTTGGTGTGCAGATCTGTGGCATTAATGTCAGTACCTTTACAGTTTTATGCTGCTGTCACCTGTCACCACCCTCCCCTGTGCCGAGCCGAAGCCCTGAACCTGTTCAGCATTTGCCAACAGTTCTGTCCCAACTTCAGGTTTTTGTGTTTGGCCTGCCCCAACCCCTGACTCCTCTGTAAGGAACATCCTACAGAGGTTTTATCTTTCTTGCACCCCTACCCCCGTGCTGGGAACTGAACTCAAGTCCTTTAGATGAGCCACAAGGACTCTCAACCACTGAACTGTCTCTCCAGCCCAAGTCCCTGTTTTTTTGTCAGTACTGGTGGTTGAAGACAGGGCCTTATACATGCTAGGAAAGTGCTTGACCACTCTGCAGCATCTCCAGCCCCTTGGGTTTTTTTTCCCCCCTCTTGGGGTAGGGAATGGGGAGCTTGAACTTAGGATCCTTCTGCACCTACTACCTGAGTGCTAGGGCTACAGGTTTGTCCACCACATCTGGCTTATGTGATACTGCGGTCAAACCCAGGGCTTTGTGAGTGCTAGACAGGCTCTCTGCCAACTGAGCTACATCCCAGCCCCAGAGCCTAGCTGTCTGTGCCTGACTTGTTAGACTTAGCATCGTGTCCTCAGGGTCTGTGGAGTCCGGATCCCCTCAGGGTGACAGTTTAGAAAGGTGTGGTTGTGGAAGCCTCCAGAGCATCATTGAACAACACAGGTGCTCTGGGCCAGCCCATTTGTTGTCTCTCAGCAGCCACACAGAGTCACCCCAGATTCCATGGTGCTTGGATTCTGGGTCACCCCATTGTCTGCCATGGTGTTTAGGTTCAGTTACGTGGGAGACCATCTTTTTGAGGCCCCTCTGGTGGAAACCCTCTTTCTCCTTCCTCCAGACTCCTGGCATCCTGCAGCGGATGGGGACTGCAGAGGCACACTGGTCCAGCCTCCTGCCCAGCCAGTGATAGAAATTCACGCACACCCCTGGACACTGCCTGCCTTTCTTCCTCTGCTCTGCCCTTCCTAGATGAACCCACTTCCGAGAGTCTCCTACCTGGGCTCCTAGAGGAACCTGCCCGTTGCCCCTGCCGCTCATCAGCCTCAGAGATTGAACTTGCCTCTTCCCATATGGTGAGGGCTTTCCGCCAGTAACTCCGTGAGAGCCCTCTTCCCACCTTGAACTTTTTTCTGAGGGACAGTTCTTGATGTAGGGGAAGGAGTTTAGGCTTGGTTTCTATTTGATAGAAGAGCCTGGGGTGCTGTGGCCACACCCCTGCTCTCAGCCTGCCTGAGTGTGGGTTTTGTGCCTGTTTGGTTCGTGACCAGACCCAGCTCCCTGATTCTGATTTCCAGACAGGTAATTTGAGTTTTTTTTTTGTAGAGAAGTCATCTTGGAAGATTTACTGTGATGCTCTCCAAAATGGACCATTCCTCTATAGGACATAAGTGGTCCCAGTGCCTTGTTTTATTTTTTAAGGCATGGCCTCATGTAGCATAGGCTGACTCTGAACATGTATGTAGCCAAGAATGACCTTAAATTTCTGAACCTCTTGCCTCCATCTCCCAAGTTTTGGGGATCACAGGCAGGTGGTACTGGGGACAGAACCTAGGGCTTTGCGTGTGATAAATAAACACTCTGCCAGCTAAATCAAATCCTCAGTCCTTTTGTTGTTTCTGCAACAAGGTCTACAAGGTGTCCCAGGTTGGCCTTAAACTTGCCATCCTTGTGCCTCTGCTGTCTCCAGAGTACTGGAATTGGAAGCATGGGCACTGCCATGCCTGGTCCTGGTGGCTTCCTTACCTAGTTTGTGGTCCTGAAAGTCCATCACTACCATCCTTACCTCCTCACTGTATCCGTGCCACACTGTCTTGTCTCAGCCACCCCATGAGAGCACCACTGACCAATGACCACGCCTGTACATCTATCCTAAGTTCATTGTACCCTGTAGCTGTGGGCCAGAGGTTGGGAGCCATCTGACTCACTGGTGTAACCACCCTCTTCCTTCTCTTCTCCCTAAGGATCTTTCCCAGATGTGAAAGTTCCTCCCTGGCACTACTGAAGCTATAGACCATAGCTAGTTGCTTGGGAACACTAGGTCAGCTCAGCACAGACCCTGCCAGAACAGAGAGAGCCCTTGTCTCCCCTGCTTCTCAGAGCAGGACTGTCAGGTAAGTGTTGGGCCACCAGAGGGCGCCCCACTGAGGCAGACCAGGCTCAAGCTTCCTTGTTCTCTCACTCCCCTAGGACTCTCCCCTACCCTGACTGACTTCGGTTAACTCATGGTGTGCGTGGTCTTGTGTCTGGTGTAGGTGAGTTCTTCAGTGCCAAAATGACTCACCACCCAGATGGTGGCCTCTCACTGACCCAGTAAGGTGTTGTCCCCATAAGTAACCTGCAGATGGTTACTATGGCCCTGTCTGTGGCCCTACAGGTATTTGAACAGTACACACTTGGTCCTCCTTTCTCTTCTCATCCTTGACCTTTGAGAAGCATCTCGGCTCCACGATGGCAGCGGAGACACTCAACTTTGGACCCGAGTGGTGGGTTGCTCAAGCTCTGGTCCATGGGAAGAAGCTGGGGTAGTGGGGAAGGGCTATGTGGACCTCCCTCTCCCTTCTTCCTTTCTGTGCCTGATCTAGGCTGAGGGCTCTTTCGAGTGGTGGCAGTGTGACCTCTCCACCCCCATCTCCTGCTATGCCCAAATACAAGCTAGCAGATTACCGCTATGGGCGAGAGGAGATGCTGGCCCTCTATGTCAAGGAGAACAAGGTGAGGTTTTGGAATGGGACAAGATTCCCTCCCCCATTTGCCTGATCAGTGAGTTGCCCCCGAGGGTATAGTGTATTGGGCTTCCTGCCCATCACAGGTCCCTGAGGAACTGCAGGACAAGGAGTTCGCTGCAGTGTTACAGGAGGAGCCACTGCAACCTCTGGCCCTGGAGCCTCTGACTGAGGAGGAGCAGGTGGGGCTGGGCCCAGCCAGGCTGAGACAAATGGGCCTAGGGTGGTGGAAGGAGGAGCCGGGCTTGAGAGGATGGGGGTTGACTGAGTGATATGTACTCACTCCCATTCCTGGCTCCTTCCTCAGAGAAACTTCTCCCTGTCAGTGAACAGTGTGGCTGTACTGAGGCTGATGGGGAAAGGGGCTGGGCCCCCTTTGGCTGCCACCTCCCGTGGCAGGGGCAGCACACGGAGCCGAGGTAGAGGATGACAGCCCATGTTTTTTAGGGGAGGAGATGGGCAAAGTCGGAATGGGTGGTGCTAAAGATGTAGAGGGGCACTGGGAGGTCCCAAACTCAGATGTGACTCCTCTTCCTTCAGGCCGTGGCCGTGGTGACAGCTGCTTTTACCAAAGAAGCATCGAGGAAGGGGATGGAGCCTTCGGACGCAATCCCCGGGAAATCCAGCGAAGCCAGAGCTGGGATGACAGGTGGGGTGGAGGGGTGGGAGCTGGGCTAGTGTGGGGTGACTGTAGAGGGACACGAACACGCCAGCCCTGGCCAGAGCCCTCTGGGTCCTGTTCCTTTCATTCTGGTTGTTTTGGGGATTCTGTTGTTTTCTCCCCAGCCTAATGTGTCCTGGCTCCCCCTGCTCCACCTTAGAGCAGAGGGGGTGATGTGTGTGTGTCTTGACCAGCATCTTTCTTCCACAGAGGTGAGAGGCGGTTTGAGAAGTCTGCAAGGAGGGATGGAGGTATGAGAGCGTTGAGTATGGTGGCAACTGAGGCGGGGTTCCCAGGTTGGGGGAGACAGGTGAGTTGTCATGGAGTTCTTTGGTGTTTATTGTCTGTTTCCCCCATGCCAGCACGATCTGGGTTTGAGGAGGGAGGGACTGGCCCCAGGAAGGAGCATGCACGCTCAGACAGTGAGAACTGGCGCTCACTGCGAGAGGAGCAGGAGGAGGATGGCAGCTGGAGACTCGGGGCAGGACCCCGGCGAGATGGTGATCGCTGGCGTTCCACCAGTCCTGGTAAGATGGGGCAAGGTGGGGTTCAGGAACTGCTCCCCATGGTGAATGTGGCTGATGTTGGGGAAGGGGATGGTCACACACATGAGGAATGGGAACATTCCAGGGAGGCCATGCTAGGTACAAGGCCTGCTGAACTGGAGAAGGCAGATCCTGGTTTGGCTGGACACTAATTTCTATGTGTTGTTTTGTTTCTTTTTCCAACTTTCTCTTCTAGATGGTGGTCCCCGCTCTGCTGGCTGGCGGGAGCATGGGGAGCGGAGGCGCAAGTTTGATTTTGATTTGCGAGGGGATCGAGGAGGGTGTGGCGAAGAGGATGGGCGGGTTGGGGGAGGCAGCTCTCACCTCCGGAGATGCCGAGGGCTCGATGGTTTTGAAGATGACAAGGATGGGCTCCCTGAGTGGTGCCTGGATGATGAAGATGAGGAGATGGGCACTTTTGATGCCTCCGGGGCCTTCCTACCTCTCAAGGTACCCTCTCAGGGACCAGGTGGGGTTGACGGAAGCTGTCCCCCAGCTGCCCTCCCACTGTCCACTCTGCCTTTTCTCACACAGAAGGGCCCCAAGGAACCTATTCCTGAGGAGCAAGAGCTTGATTTCCAGGGCCTGGAGGAAGAGGAGGAGGAGCCTTCAGAAGGGGTGGATGAAGAGGGGCCTGAGGCAGGTGAGCCCTTGAAACCTTGCAGGGAGCCTGAGCTGTTCTCTAACCTGCGATGCCTGTGTGCATATGCATACATTCATGTGCAGAGCCAGGACTCAGAAGTGTGGAAAGGGACCTCTACCAGGTGTGAACAGAATGACCTTTGGAGTCCTTTAGAAGCTCTGGAGCCTGCAGGCACCCACACAGCCCTTACCACTTGTGGGTCCTAACTGATACCTCACAGAGCAGGGCCAGGAGTCTGTGCACAGTGCAGACAGGTCGGTTCTCCACATCCATGCTTCATGCTTTGATGGAGGAGGGTTATCTGTCTATTGTGTTATTTTTATTGGTCAATAAAGAGACTGCCTTGGCCCCTTGATAGGACAGAAAATTAGGTAGGCGGAGTAAACAGAACAAAATGCTGGGAAGAGGGCTATGAGCCAGATGCCATGGAGCCAGCCACCAGGTCAGACATGTTGAATCTTTTTCGGTAAGCCACCACCTCGTGGTGTTACAGATTATTAGAAATGGGTTAATATCAAGATATGAGAGTTAGTCAGTAACTAACTCTCTAGAGATAATGGGCCAGGCAGTGCTTAAATGAATACAATTTGTGTGTTGTTATTTTTGGGACTAAGCTAGCTATGCGGGAGTCGGGAAGGATGAAAAGCAGGCCTGCCCGCAGCCCCTCACTACAGATGGCGCCAACGTGGATAACTGAATCCACAGAAAGCTTGAGAAAGCTTGGAAAGGATAGACACAACCCAGGGTCTGGGAGCTGGTTGTGCATGTTCTCCGTGTGCGACCTCACTCACGTAGTCTTCCCCTGGTCTTCTATTTTGATCGTGTATGTATGTGTATGAATAAATGTGCCACAGTGTATGGAGGTCAGAGGACAACTGTGGGTATAGGTCCTTGCCCTTCATCTTGGTTGAGGTGGGCTCTCTGTTCTTTCCCATTGTCTGTGCCCAATTGGGCCTACCAACCTGTGGAGCATTAATCTTCTGTCTTTGCCTTCCACGTTTTCATGGGAAAACTGGGATTACAGACACTCCCATGTGTGGAGTTTGTATAGGTTCTTGGGTTTTCAACACAGGCCCTCAAGGTTGGGAGGCAAACACTTACACACTGAGCTAACTCCTTAGCCCCTTTGGTTTTGAGTTCAAGTAGTCATCTGTTTTTTCCAGGTGGGAAGGAGGTGACCCCATTGCCTCCTCCTGAGAAACCTAGCTCCCCATCTTCACTGCCTGCCTTGGGCCCTCTCTGGACGACAAGCGAGGATGGTGATGAGGCAGTGGAGAAAGAACTTCCACCAGCCGAAGGTAGACTGGCTAGAGCTGATGCACAAGGGAGTGCCAGGGCGTGGGGAGTGATGGCTTGTGGCGAGAGCCTGTTCTCCTAGCCGGTAGAAGACCCGTCTTGTCCCCTTTCCTGCCCCTCCCTACTTTCTCATCTCTTCTCCCAGGAGACGAGATGAGGGGTCTGTCTCTGAGTCCTGGAGTCGGCTCGCCTCCTGGCCCCCCTGGAGATCTAGAAGATGAAGAAGGCTTGAAGCACCTGCAGCAGGTTGTGGGGAGGGTGTGCCTGTGCATGCTCGGGTTGCTGAGCTCCTTTGTCCTGTCAGCCCTGGGTCTTTCTGACAGGGCCCTGGTCTGCCCTCCTGAGCTCAGCCTCTTCCTGGTATTTGTGCTGTCAGTCCACTCAAACTTGACTCTCTTTCTGGACTCCCAGGAGGCAGAGAAGCTGGTAGCCTCCTTGCAGGACAGCTCCTTGGAGGAGGAACAGTTTACGGCCACCATGCAGACCCAGGGCCTTCGCCACTCCACAGCTGCCACTGCCCTTCCCCTCAGCCATGGCGCTGCCCGAAAGTGGTTCTACAAGGACCCACAGGGGGAGATCCAAGGTAGCTGTGGGTAGCAGATTCCTGGGAGCAGATTTGATTAGGCAGACTTAAGTGTGTTCTCTGATCTGCCATGGCCACCTCCTAACCCTCTCACACCCTTTTTCCAGGCCCCTTCACAACCCAGGAGATGGCTGAGTGGTTCCAAGCTGGCTATTTCTCCATGTCACTCTTAGTGAAGAGGGGCTGTGATGAGGGTTTCCAGCCTCTGGGAGAGGTGATCAAGATGTGGGGCCGCGTGCCCTTTGCCCCTGGGCCCTCGCCGCCCCCGCTGCTGGTGAGCATTGTCTGCTCTGCAGGTTGCAGGGAAGGCCAGTGGGGGCAGCAGCAGGACCTTAGGCTTCCCCACGACCTCGCTTGCTAGGCCTGCTCCTGCTGGGCACTCTCACAGGCATGCTCTGACCTCCTGCAGGGGAACATGGATCAGGAGCGGCTGAAGAAGCAGCAGGAGTTGGCCGCCGCGGCCCTATACCAGCAGCTGCAGCACCAGCACTTTCTGCAGCTGGTCGGCAGGTATGGGGAGCTTCGGGGCGTGATGTGGGTACGGCAGTGGTCCTGGGTGGTCTACCATCTGAGCCCTGTCTGTCTGTAGCCGCCAGCTTCCGCAGTGCACGACGCTCCGGGAAAAGGCAGCTATGGGGGACCTGACGCCGCCGCAGCAGCAGCAGCTCACAACATTCCTGCAGCAGCTCCAGGCTCTCAAAACCCCCAGGTCTATTGCACTGTGCGTGCGTGTGTGTGTGTGTGTGTGTGTGTGTGTGTGTGAGAGA